TGGGGGGGGGGGGGGAAGGGCGAAAGCTCTCTCCGTTGTGCGTGTTTTTCCTTAGGTGGGGATCCGTTGTTGTTGACAATCGGTCACCCTGGGTTCGTCTTGTGGCCCACGAAGTCATTTCGCTGAGGAGGGCCCCTTACAGGGCGTGGAGCGGGGGGGGGGGCCTCCGCCCCATGCAACTGTGAGAGAGTATTTTCCATGGTCCTCGCCGTATCCTTGAAGGTAGTCACGCCTGGGGCTCGTCATGTGTGGGGCACTCAACCTGCCAGGCGAGCTGGTACCGTTGTCGCTCTCCTGGCTTTTGACGAGTTTCGTCGAAAGAATGATTGTGATTCTCCCGGCTAGGCAGCGGCAGGGTCGGCTGTGTATTCTGGGTCATGATTGAGTGAGGTGTTTTCGGCTTTGCCTGGGCGTGTCGCTTGGGGGTCGGGGTGGGCATTGCCTTGGGGTTGTTTTCCCTTTTTGGGGGGTACGTTACTGTCCACATGCCCCCCCCCCCCCTCCCCCCGGCCGAGCTGGGGTACCATACCCTCAGTCTGCCGCCCCCCCCGTGCAACCGCTTGCGTTTTCTTCTGTCATCCCATACGCTGGCTTTTGGCTCGCAAATTACTACGGTTTTTTCCTCTGCCTGACTGGCCCTGCAGGCTCAGGCTTGTATTGACCCGCTTTCATGATTCCTAGAGTCGTATTGTTGATGGATTCGGTTCAGCGGTCCTGTGGTACCCATGACTTTGGTCAAATTTTGTGCGTGGTTGTGCATGTATCGGGGGGTGGTAGCTGTTGCTGGTTCTGAGCTACGTACTTGAGTGTAGACGGGGGAGCTTGCTTTTTTCGATTCGTGAATCGGATCGACTGCTCTATCGCTGTGGAGGCACGGCAAAGCCCGAGCTATCGTGTTTGCCTTTGCTGTGCATCGGGAAATGCCCTCCCAACACTTGGAAACTATTTTTCTCCCCACGGAAAGATTTGTTCCATGCGGTGTTGTTTGGATCTCGACTCGCGCAACTCGTCACAGATATGTTGCACGGGTGATGTTGCTGCTAGGGAAGTTGAACATACCGAGAAACGATGGCCAAGCGCTCATTCGATTGAACTGCTTTCTGTTTCAAAGCGTGCGGAAGAGGCCGGAAAACAATCGACGGTTTTTGCTGTGGGAAAAACTGCCCTTACAACAGCTGCCCCACGGCAAACCGCGGAACCAAGTACTGGTGTTGAACTCAACTGCTGCTGCTGTAGATTATTCTGCCACTATCGAGATGTTGGAGGGTCATGTTCCGCGAGTACAAGGTCGTAGAACAGTCTTCATCGCACGTCAATACAATGTGGCTCAGCATTCCTCGAGAAACGTCAACGTTGAAGACTTGCCGGGTGAGAGCGGCGCTGCGTGCTCAGCTGTGATGACTGCTCTCCACTTCGTTCTATTCTGATCCCTTGGGAGGCCAACCCCCGCTTTGTCATCACTGGGGTGGGCATGCACGCGTGTACGGCATGTGCACCCCCAATATGGTACTATAGTCCTGCAAAGCCTGCCTTCTCACAACGCACACGCTGCTGCTGCTTCTACAGTGTGTGCCGGCGCTCCCATGCACCGGACGATTTCAAGTGAGAACAGCCACACCCGTACGGGAGACGTGCCTGACGAATGGTGGTGAATCCCGAGTAAACCCGTGACCTCTTGGCTGGACCATTTCCGCCGCATTATGACGGTAAACAACACACCACTAATTTAATAGGTTCGCCACCCGCTCTAGCACACGATAGCGTAGGTAGTCAGAATATCGCAGACGCTAGCGTGACTCCGATAAATACCGCCACAAGGGTTGCCAAGACCACCTGCTACACCAGAGAATGTCGTTGGGCGAGAGGGCGGTGGAGACGCCAGCAGCATGGGTTGAGGAAACGGGGGGGTCAGGCCGCTTGGCGAAAGTGGGAAGCGCATGAAACGTCGGGCCCTATGATCAACACGTTGTATCTGGTGGCTAAAAAGGAAGCACCACAACTCCTTGCTAGCTATTTGCGGGGCAATCAGAGCGGTGTTGAGGAATGGAAACCTCTTGTTATATGCATCCGAGGAAGCACAAGTACCTGAGAAAGCTTGCAGTAGGAGATGCGCACCCCAGGGCAACAGCATTCCAGGTGGCCGCCAGGCTCCGTGTTCCCATCTCCGAAGCGAGGCGGCCATGAAGGTGGTGCTGGGTGTTCATCGTCCTCTTTCCGGTGCACCTTATTGAGAAGTGTTTTTCTCACGGCTGTCGCCCCTCCAAGCGGTACAGGTTCTGGTGTCGGTGCTGTATGCCCCCCCGGCATTTCTGCTGCTGGCGGCGGTTGTTGTCCTGCCGCCGTTCTCGCCGCCGTCGAGGCGGTGTTGATGAAGCGTTGCTCTGGTTTCTCCTTTTTTTCGGTGTCGGCGGACGACAGGACAGTCCCCCGAGAGATTCCAAAGTGTGCTCGAGATAGACCTGATTATGAACCCGTCTTACGTGAAGCCGCGGGCGATTTGCCTTTCTGTGTCTCCTCGACGATACTGTACGGATACTGCTAACAAGGATCTTCCGGAGAACTTTCGGGGGTGTATCTACATATCCACTCGTGCTCCCATTGGTGGACGTTGTTTGGGGCCAAGACTTGCGCACTTTAACACGAGTCGATCACCAAGACAACGACAGTCCTGACGTGATCGTCGGGGTCAATCGGGTTGGGTAGGACACCTCCAAGCCCAAGCCAAGCCAAGCTCGGGCGCATAGGGTACCGTGCGGGTTTAGCGAAAAAATGAAAGGTGGCGTTTGGTTCGTTTTTTAAATCGGATAGAATATCATCCGCGTGGACCCTCTATCATCGGCGTGGGTGTGTTTGCGCAGCCTTGCACATAGACGCGTGTGCGCAATCATGGCTTCCGCCGGAGTGGCACACTCGTCTGCAGCAGCAGCAGCAGAAGAAGCAGGAGGTGATGCCGCCACGCCCAACGTCGTCGCTGGCCCGCACCTACCGGCCTCGTCGCCAACTGCAGCGGTAGACGACGCCTGGGGATCGCTGATCTCGATCATCGACGGCTTCCCCGCCTCCCTGGGACCGCTCCCAACCGCGCGCGACGAGGAAGCCAGGAGGTCCCTGGTAGC